ATTTGAGTTGAATTACTGAAATAAATGAACTTTTCCACGACATTCTAATTTATTGAGATGCACCTGTATAAGTATATGCAAGTGTGTGTGTATGTATGTGTGTGTATATATATATATATATATATATATAATGTATGTAGTTTGATCACTGTACATATTCAAAGTGAAAGTCATAACCTATTACCTCCTTCCTGCTCCTCGTAATGATGTCATAATAACGAAAGCATGGACGTTTTCACTGCTACTGCTTTGCTCTCCAAAACCACATGCAAATTAGAAAGAGTCTAGTTTGCCTATGTGCTAGATAAGCCATGACGGTTGGGTTGGTTGCCTCTGCACACAGTCGTCATAGAGAAGCTTTGTAACACTATTTTAGGTACAGTACAACAAAAATGCTGCACTTCATTTTACTGATGTGTTTTTATTGTCCTTTTCTGTGCTAACAGGTCAAATGCGACTCCCTTGGTATTTCAAACAAAATGTACCTCAAAGTCGATGTGGAAGGAGGGAAGGTTTACTTCAAGAAGTCCAAAGATGGACCTGAGGATAAATATTTTGTGCACAATAAAAGTATGCTGAACCATTTCTTCACTAATATAACCACACACAAATTAATTTAGTGACAGTTTTTTAATGCTAATAAGTCAGCTGGCCTTTATTGAAAAATTAACTTTGATGGGAAGAACGGAACCCAGATGCAACGTGTTTGCGATAATGTGACTATCCTGCTTACTTTAACTTGTTTTATTATATGAGACAAAAGAAATTGCAGGGAAACTATGGTTTCAAGAGACAGGCACAGTGGTCAAATATAAAGTTTAGTGATGGTCTTTTTACAAATTATTCAAACACAGAATTCTGTGATGGACCAATCAGAATCTAGTATTCCTGGGAGCTGTGTAACCAAAATGTGTGAAATCACCCATTATGCAATAAATAATGGGAACATGCCGGATTCTTAATTTTCAGTCTTGCAGTTGGTGAAGTCCCAGAAGATGCACAACAGACTAGTATTGGTGGTAGAGACAGAGAAGGAAAAAACTCAGCGCAAAGACTTTGTCTTTGATGACACAAAGGTAAAAATCCCACTGCTAATATAGCTATTGTTACAGTAGGGATAAAAAGTTTTCACATGGAAGTTTTTTAGGCATCCGCAAAAATGAACGCTGAGAGCCATAATATACCAGTTCCATGTTTTGCATGTGTGTTTTTATGTGTCCTTGTTTGTAACTGTGTATCTCCAAATACATTTTTAGAAAAGAGAAGGCTTCTGCCAGCTTCTACAGCAGATGAAGAACAAGCACTCAGGAAAACCTGAGCCGGATATGATCACCGTCTTTGTTGGCACCTGGAACATGGGTAAGATGCATTTAGCCTATTAACATTTAGCCTATTTTTAAATTTAGTCAGTCCAGAAAAGCTTCTCAAATTCTTCTGAATTCAGACTGTTTTTGGAGCTGAAGCAGACTTTTTTTCTTTTTTTCTTTTTTTATAAAAGTGCTGTTACACTTTTTTTTTTTAATTCTCACTAGCCTATCCTTGTGAAAAAGAAGAACACTTCAGCATATTTTTAAAAAGAGTGCTACTGAAATAATATACTAAAAGAATATATTTAAATGCAAACTAAATTGAATGTTTTTAGACACTTAATTGCATTTTATTTACAAATAAACAAAATGTATTATAGTTTAAATTTATATTAAATGCAATGAGCTTAATGCTTTTTTGACCCACTTAAATAGGACTTTATATCGAATTACTTCTATTGTCTTTAAAACATAGTTTAAGTGTGCTATTGAATGTACTGAAAAGCATGTATGGTAAACTAAAATACTCTTTAATTGTGTTCATTTCTATGTTATATCATGTATTTAAATATTTGTAATTATATAGTTGCAAGTTAGTACATTTAAAATATATTACGTATAAAGGTAATATCAAATAACACACTACAGTTAAATTTATAAACAAATACTTTACATGTGCTTAAGTGTGTTTGTCAACACTTCAAATAAGTCTACGTCTTTGAAGTAAGAATTATTATTATTATGATGAAGATATGAAAATAAACTTAAAACCTTTAATTTGACGCTATGACAAAGTAGACTTTTTAAAAATGTACATACAGGTGCATCTCAATAAATAAGAATGTCGTGGAAAAGTTCATTTATTTCAGTAATTCAACTCAAATTGTGAAACTTGTGTATTAAATAAATTCAGTGCACACAGACTGAAGTAGTTTAAGTCTTTGGTTAAGTCACAGGTAGAACCGCAGCCTTATGAGGATTGTCAAGCAAAATCGATTCAAGAATTTGAGTGAACTTCACAAGGAATGGACTGA